CTGCATGACCATGCCCACTTTCTTTAAAAAAAAAGTGCTGGGCACCAGGAAAGGGGTTGGCAGGCACTGTGGTGCCCACAGGCACCCCATTGGGAACCCCTGGTTTATATAGTGAGCCAGCTTTTGTTTCAGACATGGCACAGTACTTTCTGAGCATATAAAAAGAAGCAGGGGGGGGGGATAGCAGACGGGAAAGTAACAGCACCAGCACAGAACACTATCAGGACAGAGTGAGTATTTGCACAATAGCAGTGCTTTGGGGGGGAGAAGCTGTGCCCCACTGAACTTGCCTGTTTCTGCCCCCAAAACAAAACTGGTGACTAGTCTGTGCAGATCTAGTAATATGCAGATTTATTTCTGATCTCTCAAGCTTTCTCGCCAAGGTGATGCGCATTTAGAGTCCTAAACTGAGACAGGGGACACCCAGATTCAAATCCCCACACAACCGGGTATCTCCCTAGGTGATCCTGGGCCAGTCGCGCTCTCTCAGGCAAGCCAGCTTTTCAAGTTTGTAGAGAGGATAAAGTGGAGCAGAGGAGAACCAGGTATGCTGCCCTGGCATCCTTGAACAGTAAAAATATAATCCGTAACTCCCATCAGGTCTGTAGCTACAGTAGGGCTTTAGGAGGCTTTATTAAACGCACAGCCCACAAGAATTTCTCCTGTAAATGCTTTCCCCCACCCCCAATCATTTTAAAACATTTTTTAAAGGTGTGCGCACTTTTAAGCAGAGTGGTGTGCTGTAGTTGACTAATTCCTGCACTGAGCAAGATTGTAGTTGACTAATTCCTGCACTGAGCAAGAATGGGTTGGAATAGGTGACCTCTAGGATCCCTTCTAACTCTGGGTCAAGAAACTGATCTCCTTTGAGAGAGTTCTTCTATAGAAGGCATCACCCCCACCTGCTGGCTTATCAGAATTTTTGCTTAGGTTGGCAGAAGTGATTAACTTGCAGCAGCTGAGAACCATCATCTAAAGTGGTCAACAGCTTGCAATTTAGAGATCTATCCTGGTAACAGCTTTTTATTGGCTAAATGCTCAATAGGCTGATTGCTAGCATAAGAACAGACTGTTTGAGAAGACTCAGAGAGAGAAGAGTACCTGAATCATAATCCTCGGAATTCTGACTTTTCTTTCGACACTGAGAACTTGAGCCCCACCTGGGGGGAAAATTGCCCCAAAAGTCACAAAATCCTGGCCATGGACCTGAACCCCATTCACCCCATTTGGAAGATTTAGACACCAGTTTTCCTGGTGGACAAACACCAGCTTCCTGGAACCATTTTAGATTGGGGAGGTAGGAGACTGAAACCCTTCCTCTCTTCACACCATGGACCTAAACCCAGTCACGCCTCCGCACACTTAATCAGCATCTTCCAAAACACAAGGAGTTCCTGACATGGGATTCCCAGTGTTATCATCGAGTGTTACTATCTAGTAAGCCTGACCTGGACAGCCCAGGCTAGCTCGAGCGCGTCAGATCTCAGAGGCTAAGCAGGGTCGGCCCCGGTTAGTATTTGGATGGGAGACCGCCAAAGAAGTCTGGGATTGCTATGCGGCATCAAACCGCCCATGGACATCTCTTGCCTTGAAAACTCCATGGGGTTGCCATAAGTCAACTCTGACTTGACAGCAAAGAAAAGAAAGAAAAAACCCTAATAGAGGAAGCCCTGATAAGGGTGCCGAGAGGCCCTAGCATTCTCTCTGTGATAGAACTGGAAACCACTGGAGAAAGGGATCAGTGAGACGGTTACAAAGCAGGCTTACCAATAGCTACCAACCAATGCTCCCTCTAAGCTGTGGAGTCTGGTAAGCAAAAATTCTACTTTGTGAGCTACCGGCATTGAAGTTGTGCGCGAGCGATTTGGCTACTGCATAAATTGGATTGCTCTGGAGCCATCCCTTCCTGAGCGAAGACAAAAATGTGTGAGCTGGAGGCTAAAAAACTGTGAGCTAGCTCACACTAACTCAGCTTCGAGGGAACACTACCAATCGATCACAGCTCTGTACTTGATGTTACGTGTAACATGTGATCGCCGGGGGGACATACAGCCAGATGGCAGCTGTGAGTTCTCCATGGTAACTTAGTTCTGAAGCCCGATTTCAACTAGGGCTGTGGCATGGTTTCAGTTTCAGACCCAAAATAGTCCTGGAGGTATTATCTGCCCCATGGGGGAACTGCACATATAAGTATTCAGTGCACGTGCCGCCGCCACCCCACACACAGGGCAAATAAGGCTCTCCCAGGGTAGGCAGCACTGTTTGCTTCTGTTGACCACCAGCATCTCCCAGGCAGTGTACTCTCTAAGCTGAGTTAGTGTGAGCTAGGTCACAGTTATTTAGCCTCCGGCTTACACATTTTTGTCTTAGCTCAGGAAGGAGGGCTCCAGAGCAAACTGATTTATACAGCAGCCAAATCACTTGCTCACAACTTTGATGCTGGTAGCTCACAAAATAGAATTTTTGCTCACAAGACTCCACAGCTTAGAGGGAACATTGCCCAGGCCAGAGGGAGAAAGTGGGGGAAATTGGGGAAGTGCAGCAGCGTTGCACTAGCAGGCGATGCCATTTCCGTCGGAAACCAGACATGACTCCGTTATAGTGAAGGTGCCATTCTGGGATTTGCCCCAAACTCTATGGTTTATCCTAGAGTGTCCCCCACCCAAAGTAATGGCATCACCAGAAGTGACATCATACCCCGGCGCAATGGCAGTGCACTTGTTCCCACCTTCTATTCCACCTGGGGGACTACCAGCGTTAGCTGGCAACGCTACTCCCAGGGCCATTTTGGGTTGGGGAAATGGTGAGGCAAAGTCTGAAGCTGACTCTCTAGAGCGTGGTTTTGGTCTAAACGGGGTCCCTGCAGTGCTTCAAAATTGAGTTCCCACGGGGAACTTGCAGCTGCCACCTGGCTGCAAACCCTCCTGCGCATCACACGTTACACGTAACATCTAGTTCGAGCCTCATAGAAGCTCCCTACACGTGACCCAATATGCACACTTTGCAGCAGCTGTCTTTCCCCCTCCCCACAAACATGGCGATAAACCTTGGCAGTGAAAATTCGTGTTGGTCAGCCATTCCGATGGTCTTTTCATGGCTGGATAACTTTTTAAAAAAACCTTCATCAGCCAAGAGATCGAAAGGATACATTCTGGCCCTTGAACTCAAGGTCTTATGTCTCCTTTTGCTATGGCAATTAATGCTGTCTTGCATCATCGACAGGTAAAGATCCCGAGGTGGCCGAAGACAGCAACGGGAAGACGTTCACGGTCACCAGCCATGTCGAATTTGATGTCACTAGAGACGATGATGGCATGGACGTCGCCTGTACGGTTCATCATCCTTCACTGCCGAACTCAGCCACATCGACTACTCTGAAGATACAAGTCTTTTGTACGTCATTGTGGGCCAGTGGCGGGGCGGGGTGGGGGAATAATTCCCACTGGTGCTAGGCCCCGTAGCTCAGTGGCTGCTAGCAAGACAGGATTGGGAAATACCTGGAGATTTGGGGGTGGAGCCTGGAGAGGGCAGGTTTTTAAGAGGGGGGGACCTCAGCAGGCCCGTAGCCAGGATTTTAAAATCTGGGGTGCCTTTAAATAAGTCGGGGGGGCACCCCACACAGACACACACACACACACCCAAGGGAGCCTCACAAATAAGATTAAAAATTGGAAGTCGGGGGGGCCTGGGGGCTGGATGGGAAGTCGGGGGGCCTTGGTAGTAAGTCGGGGGGCGGCCCCGAGATGCCCCACTGTAGCTACGGTCCTGGACCTCAGTGGGGTGCAATCCCCTAGAGCCCACCCTCCAAAGCAGCCGTTTCCTCCAGTGGAACTGATCTCTGTAGCCTGGGGATCAGTAGTAAAATCAGGAGATGTCCAGGCCCCACCTGGAGGTTGGCAACCCAATAGCAAAAGCTTAATACCTTTCTCAGAAAGCAAGAGTCCTGTTCACATGTTACAGTGCATCTCTTTGTAAGAAAGAGCATTCATATGTTCACGTTACATGTGAAACTGGGGACCAGTACCTGGATAACACACTGCGTTGGGCATAAATTGAACCTAACATGAGAATTACTCAGTGCATGTATGAGGGAAAATCAAGTGTACGCCGTACCCGGATTGTGCACGCTTTCACTGTAACTTGGGAACAGGGCTACTGGCTGCTGATCTGAGCGATTCATATGACCTCGGATCTCAGCAGCCAAAATGATGTTTGCTAAAACCAGGGCTATTTTTGGGCAGGAACGCACAGGAACGTAGGTCTGGCTCGCTCCTGAGTTGGCCATGCCCAGCAGAAATTCATTAGCATAACAGGCCACACCTAACAGCAGAGACTCATTAGGATTGGCTACATTAGGGGTGTGTGGCCTAACATGCAAAGAAGTTCCTGCTACAAAAAAAGCCCAGGGTTTTGACAACAAACAAAGTAAACAGAATAAGAAGAAAAAGGTGGGTGTGGTAACATGGGGGCGTGGCCTAATATGCTAATGAGCTGTGATGTCAGGGGTGTGGCCTGATATGCTACTGGGTTTCTGCTGTTGGGTGTGGCCTATTATGCTAATGAGTTCCTGCTGGGCTTTTTCTACAAAAAAAGCCCTGGCTAAAACGTTAAGAATTTAAATATCAAGTGGTGGAGTAACAATGTTTAGATAGCTGTTAGATTGTCTAAATGGAGAGGGTCTGTTCAGCTGAGGGGTACCACAGGGTTGCCAGCTCCGGGTTGGGAAATACCTGAAGATTTTGGAGGCGGAGCATGGGGAGGTCGGGGTTTGGGGAAGGGGGGACCTCAGCAGGTTATAATGCATTAGAGCCCACCCTCCAAAGCAGCCATTTGCTCCAGGGGAACTGATCTTGGTCGTCTGGAAATCAGTTGTAGTCGCGAGAGATGTCCAGGTGCCACCTGGAGGTTGGCAACCCTATGGTACCTATCTTTGCAAACAGTTGGAAACCTTTCTTTGAACTCTGGATGACATTTGAAAAATATATATAGAATTGGTCTCTGTTATGACCTGAAATGTCCTGACCTGGCTAGCCCTGGCTAGCCCGATCTTATCAGGAGCAAATCGGGGACTGCCCTGCCTATTATTTGGATGGGTGACCTCCAAGGAATACCAGGGTCGTGATGCA